TTATGTTTGCCCCCTCGATTCTTGAAATGCTAAAACCCTCGCTAAAGTTTGCATCTTTTCCCGTTGTACTGCCTTAATCCTGTTTTTACTCTTTTAGCTTGTGTTTATCTTGATTTCTTTGGATGGCCAGGCTCGGATTTGCTTCAAAGTTGCTTACGACTGATATTTTCTTTACGTAATTAATCTTTTTAGGTTGAAAATTCACTGAATCTTTACTGCAATTTTGCCAAGTGGTAAATGAATGGATGGGAGAGAAGGGATTAATGTACAAGGCTCGTCTTCGTACTTCCTCAACAATAGAGATGGGTTTGGTGGTACCGGGCCTTTTGTCCGTGGCCCGGGCGTGAGTTTACAGGTGTCAAATCCCATTTACAAGAATCTCTCTAACCACCAAAACATCTCATTGCACCCGAATGCAGGGATAACTGGGAATGCTCCTGTGAGTGAATCCTCAGCATTTCATGTTGAAAACTCGTCGCTGAACAATAATATTAGCAGTAGTAATAATAATAGTAATAGTTACACTCAAGGGATGAGCATAGCTATTGTGCCTGGTGGGTCCCATGGAGGTGTTGAGATGACGGAGAAGAAGAAGAGGGGTAGGCCCAGGAAATACGGGCCTGAAGGGTCACCGAAAGTGACTTTGAAACTATCCTCCCATGTTCCGAAAATGCCCTCGTCTTCTGATCCGAACACTTCTGGGGAAAAACCGAGAAAAGGGAGGCCGCCTGGAACTGGGTGGAAACAGAAACTTGCTCATCATGGTAAGTTGCTATTGGTCGAAAATTGAATTCCTTCACGATCTTTTAAGTATTTAAAAATGTGACCACTAAGAATTCGTCCAGCTTGATTTTTCATTAAAAATAAGAAAAATGAAATCGAAGTCTTTATAGCCTATGAACGGGATTAGAGAGACTATCATTGATTTGAAAATATTTATATAATTCTGGTAATTTTGTTTTGGATATATTACTACATTGTTATTGCAAGTATGAATCTTTGTTTGGTACATAAATGTATCTCTTACTTATCTCGTGAATGTAATTAAATGAGCCACTCAGTCATGTCTCAGTAGTCATAGTGCTGTAATTATTTATATGTATCTCTTACTTATTTATATGAGCCACTCACTCAGTCATGTCTCGTGAATCTTTGTTTGGTACATAAATGTATTTCTTACTTATTGTTTCTAGCACTCGGTTGAGAACAGTCTATTCTTTACTTTGTGGATTTATATGTTCATTTTCGATAACTTACCATGATGATTTTTGTGACATGTTTATTGAATCAGGCGATTGGATGAACAGCTCAGCCGGGCAGGCTTTCACACCCCATGTTCTTCATATAGGAGTTGGGGAGGTATGCCCTAACCATCATCTCTGCAATTTATCACTAAACTAAGCACTAAGTGCCATAACTCGACTTTAAATGGCTCTGATGCATTATTGAGGTAATCTTGGTGGTATAAGTCTAATTAATTAACCCCTAATATTGTTCCATATATGGTTTGATTTTCTGGCTGGTTANTCCGTATTTTGTTTATGTCAGGCCCGCATGATGATGTAATTTTTTAATCTGTCAATTTGTGTTTCCTTTCCCCTTGCGCATGCAATAGTAATATTTATGATGATGCCAAAGTATTATTAAATTTTATTTCCGGCAGGATATTGCGGCAAAAATATTTGCATTTGCACAACAGCGATCGAGAGCTTTATGCATAATGTCGGGGAGTGGATCCGTTTCTTTGGTGACCCTGAAGCAACCTGAAACTCCTTCTAGCACTGTAACTTTTGAGGTTGGTATCGTTTTATATATGTATGTTATCATACATAGAAGTTCAATTTATAACTTGACCGACTCAAAATTGGTTAAATTGAAACCAGCTTCTTATTTCTATTGGAAGGATACTTATCTTATCGATTTTAAATGCTAAAAAGTGAAGAATTGACATTATGGCAGCCTGAATATATAAGTTGTAAAATTCATTGTGGTAATCTGGTATTGTTAACCTTCAAGTTGAACGGTTAAGGAGTGTCGTGGTCTTTGTTCAAAAGCTTTTTGTGTGGCTACAATACTATTTTATGGCGCTAATTTGTTTTATCATGATCTTATTGGATCAATTCCCGTCGAATGTGAGTTTTCAGATGATCTAGTTTTGTTTTCAGCCCAAAGATCATTGACATCTTTTGCTTATTATACATTATCCTTACATAGCATGGCCATAATTAATGCTATTGTTTTTCTGCATGAGTTGAAAATGTTCATTCCATTCGCAATTATCAGTTCTTCATGCAGAAACAAATTAATCAAGTGTCTTCTTGTACTGAATTTAGTGCGAGGGGTATTTATAATTAAAAAAACAAAAAAACAAAAAAAATACGATCTAAAAAATTTCAAGTACTCCCCACATTAGCTAATTTGGCTTGTTTTTCCTAATTTCAGGGTCGTTTTGAGATCCTTTGTTTGTCTGGTTCTTACTTGGTGGCTGAGAATGATGGTTCGAGCAACCGGACAGGAGGTATAAGCATATCTTTGTGCAGTCCGAATGGCCATACGCTTGGGGGGGCAATAGGCGGCAAGCTTATTGCAGCCAATCATGTTCAGGTTTTCGCGCTTGATTAATAGTTTGCTTCTTGTTTATGAACACAATTAACCTTTTTATTTCAACGATTTGTTTCAACTAAAAATTAACAGAGTTCAGTTTACAACTATGGAGAATTCTTGTTTATGTGCAATTTTGTGCATTTTTACCGAATATTTTTAATCCAGGTGGTGGGGTGCAGCTTTGTGTACGATGCTACGAAGGCCCAAACAGATGAACGGAAACTTCTAGAACAATTTTCTCAAAAACCGTACACCCCTTACAATGCTGCCACTGTCCAAAACACTAATTCAGGACCAAATGATTGGCAGCTAAGTTCACGACCGGTGGAAAGCTCTCAAGAGGATTTTGATCTCTCTCGCGGGTGATTATGATAAAGATGATATTAAACGTGCTACAATTAGGAGCTTGGCAAATTCTCTGTGCATATTGATATGAGAGTGAGAAAAGAACAGAAAATTGCAACAACGTTTTAAGTTTGCAACATTGTTCTAAGTTTCTACTAGATGCAAGTAGTATCGTGTTCGTTCGTATAAATTGGTGCGATTTTATTTGTATTCGAGTAGATAATAAAAGTAGTGTCAACTTGGAATTTTTGTTTTATGACCAGTGATATTGTTCACCATCTTTTGCTTAATTTGAATGACTGTCATGTTTTGCACAATTTTTAGGTGAAGGTAAAGAAAGAAACTATATTTCAACCAATTTGGATAAAGGGCATTTCCTTCACCTCATGCCTTCTCATTTTCATCATCAATAAAGTTCACAGTTGTAAACTTCACAAGTCTGGTTTTCTAGCTGTTATAAAATGTTGAGCAAGATTTAAAAGATAAACCCGACACGACAAATAAGCGCTAAAAGCATATGCAACCATGGCATCACCAAACACCAAGCCTTCAGTAATGATCGAAACCTTTGCAATATAAAGCATTCATATCACACAAATGTATACAATCTAAACTTTGGAATACAGAAGCATTCATAACACAAATGTAATAATTTCCTCATATTCTCCAAGACATTATTATTGTTATTGAATTATTCGTACACTGCAATGCTTATTAACCTTTACTCCATGAATTTCTTTAGTTCTTTGCACCTTTCTCCAGTAATTTCTTGATGTCCTTCTGAAAGACATGAGAAATGCAGTGAGATTTCCACCTAAAATCCTATAACAGATTAAAATATGTTTCATATCAAACTACAGAAGAATTTTCCTTACCTCTATGCTCAGAGGGGAAGTAGTTGGAGCATATCGGTCAACGACACGACCCTCTTGGTCAACAAGAAATTTAGAGAAGTTCCATTTGATGCTGTCCCCGAAGAGCCCACCTTTGACTGATTTCATATATTTGTATAGTGGAGCAGCATTTGAACCATTTACCTCAATCTAAATTGGTCAGGACAAAAGATTATTAAATAATCTTGATTACCAGAGTGACGGAAGACTTGTAAATTTCGAACATATTCTTGAGTTGATAATAAGTTGAACACAGATAGATCAAACCTTCCAAGTAAAATGAAGTTCATTTCCCTAGATGAAATAAATTGATCCAACAATCTTACCTTATCGAATATGGGGTACTCGGCCTTGAAACGAGTACAAGCAAACTCTTGAATTTGTTCGTTTGTACCGGGCTCTTGTGAGCCAAACTGGTTGCATGGAAATGCCAATATCTCCAAACCTAAGCAAAAAAAATAAATAAATAAAAAAATAAAAAAAAAAAATCAAATTGAGTTTCCAGGAAAAATAGAACTGTGACGCTTCCAAGCTCTAAATAACAATTTCCGAACCCATAACCGTAAATTTCATTTATTTATTTGTTTTTATTTTTTATTTTAAAAAAGGATGTGCAGTTCAGAAACAGATGTCGTCATTTTACAGGATCTGAAACACTCACAGAAGTAAAATTTCCCAACTAAAAGGAGTCGAAAATCAAATTTTGTTGCCTCAAAATTGAAAACGGATATTATTGAAAGAAAATGGCACCAAACACCAACAGAAACTGAGTAACAGCAGAACCAGATCAAACCTTGATCTTTGTACTTCTCGTACAATTTAGTCAACTCGGTGTAATTTGAATTGGTCAGGCCACTGCAAGAAGCCAGAAAGTTACAATTCAATAATTTCTTCAAGCTTAGGACAGGCAAGTATAATCAGAATACTTCAGCAAGTTAACGACAACGCAGCCAGGGACGAATATGGGAATGTTTCCAGAAAACCGAAACAGAAAACTTTCACTTTCCATATTGTTCACAAACATACACAATAAAAAAAATGAAAGCAATGACAAAATTTTGTTTAAAAATATAGTTGCAAGAGGAGCTCTGATAAAACAACCATCAATTAGCTTAGCAGGCATTAAAGAGTCCAAACAACTGATATACAAGATAGGCTTAAATAGTTTATAAATACATTTCACAGAGACCAAACAAGCTGAACGAGGTTCTTTCTCCCACAAATAGTCTTTGTCCAATATAATGTCCACACAAACATATATTTGATAATATACCCAAAAATCAAAAACAAGAAAAATCATGTTCACCAACTTTTGAATGGAAATATCCTTCAATTGGGAATAGAATTCACACACCAGCACAGATGGGATATACAATTACAGACTAAGTGGCTACATACCACTGTGATGCAACATTGACAATTAGAAGGACTTTTCCCTTATATGTACTCAAATCGACATCATTCCCCTTGGCATCCTGCATTTACCAAGATCAGACATTTACACAGTGAACGTTGTCAAACTTGTTCCAACAGGAATTAAATTACCAGCAATTACAACGTTTTAAACGAAAAGGACCAATTAGAATAAGTTACCTATGGGTGTATCTGGTATGTATGCAGGGCTTGACATCATCAACAAACAAATAAACACTATTCTATTTCTCAATACATAATAGAAGCTTCCCAGCATTAGGCCATGCACAAGACATTTCCTAAATTTCAACCAAACTCTATTGAATCATGAAAACATGAGTGTATATAAGTGATGCATTTCCTAATGGCTCATTAATTATTGTTTTTCCTTGACATTGGAAAGGATGACACATACTAGTCACCTTCGGTCCAAGAAAAACCAATTTTCTGCAACTCTCTTCATCGAATTTCTGCAAGGCCTATGTTGTGCCAAAGCCAGAGCTTTTGCTGAAACTAGTTCTCCATGATGCCCATAAGGCCAAGTATACACCATTTTCATATAATACTCATAGGATTAAATACGTCAGCCCTTTATACTTTATAAGACCAATCACAATTACCCAATGTTAGCAAACACCAGTAAGCAACATCATCCACACCAAAAGTCAAAACCAGAACTTCACTAATAACCCATAAATCAGAATCTACACCAACCATTTCTAGTGAGAAAAAAATAAATCCTAAGAGAAACTGAGACTTAAAATCCCCCAAAATCCTCAGAAAACCACCAAATCATTATCAGAAAACAAAAGATAAAAATTTACTCGTCTAATTATAAAGTGAAAAGGGTATACCTTAACAGTGAAATCATGCACAGATTGAGGCGAATCTGATTGGCTGGCCATCGTACGATCTGCTCTCGAGCTCGAAATCAAAGACTTCCTCGAACTAATACAGGATGAAGGGTACAGAAACCTAGCTTTAACGGGCTCAAAACGCGCAGATTCTGGCGCGGTAAATGGTGAATCGAGATGTGTTCTGACCCGGAAAGAATAAATTAAAGCCTGTGATGGATGAGGTTCTTATATTTATCAGAATGCGAGACTTGAAAAGGAACATGAATGAACTGATATATAAAGAAAAGAAATAGAGTGTGTAAACAGATTTGAACAATGGCGCAAGATATGTGACGTTGCTAATGTACGCGTAAAAGGCTGGATGCACGCCACGTGTGATAATTTGGCCAATCAGTTTCAACGTATAGTTGATTTTACTTCTATTTCTAGAAGTTTTGACTGTTGACTTTTAAAATAAAGAAGGGATAATTTCATTTTGGTCCTCGACAATCTATGGCATTGCACGTTGCCCATGTTTTTTTTAATTATTAATCTCGTCAACTTTAGAAATTTTTAATTATCAGTTGCATATATGATAAACTTTAAAAAGTTTAATTTTTTAAAAATAAATCCACAATACAACTGAACAAGTCCATAAATCTCTTATATATAATTCTTGAATGTGATGAACTAAGTGGCAGACGAGCACGCTTCGAGATTTTATTTGCCAAAGTTTCATGCTTCATCAATTGACTTTGATAACTTTTAATAAAAATAATTAGACTTTGAATTATCCATAAATATAAGGAATATTCATAACCATTTTTATGAGCATTAATTGTATTTTAATATAATTTTATATTCTTGACATGGATTATAAGGGATTAAATTTTTTGCTTCAATCTTTCTTTTTCTCTCAATACTTTTTTTTTTAATTATAATACACTTTAATAACTAAAATTGTAAATATATTTTGAAAGTTAAGTTTTATATTTTTATCCATATAATTATATATCAAATCAACAATCTCTTCATTAGTTTCGATTTGACATCTATATTATACGATAAAGTAAATAAATAATTATATCTATATTTCCAAATCAAAATTATATCATTTATTAATTTTTTAGTTGAAAAAATAAAATTATTTATCTATTAAATAAATTTAACTACAAATATAAGTTAAAAAAATATTATAATAAAAGATGATAAAGTAGTATATGTGATACTATCATTTTAAACAATAATAATAATAATAAACATTTAAAATTTAAAACATACTTTTTTTAATTAACTTTTAAATTTATGTGTATATTTTTAAACAAGCATCCGTGTAATACAGAGATACTGTATTATTACTATTTAAATCCAAATATAATTTTTTTAACAAACACATGTTTAATACACGAAATTGTTAGTCATATATATATGGCCTAAAAGTAAACATAAGCATGGTACACATACTTCAGCTCAGCTAATCGTTAAATAATTACTATATTACACAAAAATAAATATCATACCTTATTTATTATGTATTTATAAATAAAATATTTCTATATAAAATAAAATTACGCAAATATGCTAAACAATATGATTGATTTTAGGCGATAATTGTATATAACTATTTAAATCTTGCATAAAAAACGATTTTCGCATGCAAATGGCGACAAATAAAATGAAGCTTCAGCCGAAGTAAGATGGAGATAACTACACACAAATTATAGACGTCTGCAATATCTGCAATAAGATGACAACCCAAAGTATCCAAATTCCAAACAAACACTACAAACAGAATTCAGTCATTCAAGCAGAGAAATATTTCACTAATAGTCTTTTTTAAGCCATGAAAAAAAAAAAAGAAAAGGAAATCACATCACAAATCACAATAAACGCGCTTCTCTTTCCAAACCTACACCTCATCCTCCTCCTGATACTCATCTTCATCCTCATACTCCTCATCAGCAGTAGCATCCTGATACTGCTGATACTCAGCAACAAGATCATTCATGTTGCTCTCAGCTTCCGTGAACTCCATCTCATCCATCCCTTCCCCAGTGTACCAGTGCAAGAAAGCCTTTCGCCTGAACATGGCCGTGAACTGCTCACTCACCCTCCTAAACATCTCCTGAATGGAAGTCGAGTTCCCAATGAAGGTCGAAGCCATTTTCAGTCCTGTCGGGGGAATATCACAAACGGTCGACTTCACATTGTTCGGAATCCACTCCACAAAGTAAGACGAGTTCTTGTTCTGAACGTTGATCATTTGTTCGTCGACTTCTTTAGTGCTCATCTTGCCACGGAAGACTGCAGATGCAGTTAAGTAGCGGCCATGTCTCGGGTCAGCTGCACACATCATGTTCTTAGCGTCCCACATTTGCTGAGTCAGCTCAGGCACGGTCAAGGCTCGGTATTGCTGGGACCCACGGGAAGTGAGAGGGGCAAAACCGACCATGAAAAAGTGGAGTCGAGGGAAAGGGATAAGGTTGACCGCTAGCTTCCGGAGGTCGGAGTTGAGCTGGCCGGGAAAACGGAGGCAGCAGGTCACGCCGCTCATTGTTGCTGATATTAAGTGGTTCAAGTCTCCAACTGAGATCAAGAAAGCAATTTAGTTATAAGGAAAGTTGCTAACTTTAAATCACGGGCAATATTATATATACAAAGTGTTAAACGGGAATATCAAAGGCTTACAACTAGGGGTTGTGAGCTTGAGAGTTCGGAAACAGATGTCGTAAAGAGCCTCATTGTCGAGGACCATGCACTCATCGGCATTTTCGACGAGCTGGTGTACAGAGAGGGTTGCATTGTAGGGCTCCACAACAGTATCAGAGACCTTGGGTGAAGGGAATACGGAGAAAGTCAACATCATTCGATCAGGGTATTCTTCTCTTATCTTGGATATCAGAAGGGTTCCCATGCCAGAACCTGTGCCACCTCCCAATGAGTGGCAAACTTGAAATCCTGGAAGCATAAAATAGATTGGTAATAAGTGAAACCAGCATAGAGATTTCTTGATATCTGGAATTGTGTTTTCAATCTATACAGACTAGAACTGCAAACAGATTTATCGCGAGAACTCTTTAGGTTATTCCGATGGGCTCATGATTCATGAAGCTTCAAGGGTACGTAGGAAGAACACAAACACACTTGACATTAACTAGGAAAATCACATTGATAATAACCATAACAAATTGAATAATTCCGACATGTATTACATAATAAATTTCTTCCATAGGACATATGAAGCACCAAAGACACATTCAGTAGAAAGTCATATTGAAGCACGAAGACTAAGAACTCTACATTTAAATTATGCTGCACATATATACATGTGACAACAACAATGTATCACTAGCACTCATAAAATACCCCAAACTTCATAAACAGTTAACTCAACGGTATAGTTAAACAAAAACACAGAAAAAACATCAAACTAGCTACACACTAAGAGAGTTGATGAGATTTATCCCAAACATGATAAAACATTTAACATTACAGCTGAAACAAACACAGACAAACACCAAACTAGCCACACACCGATAAAGATGATGAGATTAAGCCAAACTTCATAAGGCATTTAACAGTACAGTCTAAAATATATTTAACAGTACAGTTGAAACTAACACAAAAAAACAGCAAAGTAGCCACGCACACCAGGAGACTTCTGCAATCTCATCAACCACATAAATACCAGTTTCTACACTATTCCGCAGAACTTCAGTAACAAAGAAAATGTATGTTTCCAGATAGCATTAACACTTAGTAAATCAACACCTGCAAAAAACCAAACCCTAGCAACATAAATTAGGGCAGAAGAGAAAAATCAACTGCATACCCTGAAGGCAGTCGCAGTTCTCAGCTTCCTTCCTGACGACGTCAAGCACCGAGTCGATGAGCTCAGCCCCCTCGGTGTAGTGCCCCTTCGCCCAGTTATTCCCGGCGCCGGACTGCCCGAAGACGAAGTTGTCAGGCCGGAAGATCTGACCGAAGGGCCCGGAGCGGACGCTGTCCATGGTCCCGGGCTCGAGGTCCATGAGGACGGCCCGGGGGACGAACCGGCCGCAGCTAGCCTCGTTGTAGTAGACATTCACGCGCTCGAGCTGCAGATCTGAGTCGCCATTGTAGCGGCCGGTGGAGTCGATGCCGTGCTCCGTGCAGACGACCTCCCAGAACTTAGCGCCGATCTGATTGCCACACTGGCCACCCTGGATGTGGAGGATTTCACGCATTTTTACAGTAGGTTAGAGAGAGATGGAGGGTTCTAGAGAGAGAAAGAGTGTTTTTGCAGTGTGAAAGCGATTGGAAATGGCGAATAAAAAATTAGGGAAATTAAAATGGAGGGGTATATTATGAGGAGGGAAAAAGGTAAAATTTTTTGAATTTGGGTTCTGATCTGCTGCGGCGAGTGCAGGGATGTGTTAGGGAAAAATTTCTAATTTCAATTTATTGATACATTTAAAATTGTTTAACACACTAACTTTATGTTCATTTAATGAATTTTTATTATTTTACTTTAAACAATCTTCAATTTAATTGTTAAAAAATATTAAACCACACTAGTAATCAACTTGTGCATTTGCACAAAGACGAATACTTTAAAAACATAAAAATATAAAACAAATAAAAATAAATTATAATTTAATTCATGAAAAAAATATAAATTAAGAAAATAATTCTCAAAATTGATTTTGATCAAGTAATTGCAATGGAAGAGCCATTACAACAATTTTCTTTATGCTAATACACCCGGTCATTTTCATGAGTTGGTGTGACTTAAATTTTGAGTACAATTTTGTACTCCCTTTATTGGTTTATGCGCATTCAAGCAAGTTATTTTGTAACTTAAGAATGAAATTGAATGCTGAAAATTTTGGAGGGAGAATAAAATTTAATTCATGAGAATAAAATTTAATACATGGTAATAAAATTAAATGCTTTGTTGCTGCTCTTTATATAAATATATAGATATTTGAGGTCAAATTCAATCATACTGTGAGAGCAATGCCCTCATCGGGTATATGAACATTTCGTGTAAAAAGACCTTAAAATAGCAAATTTTTACATTAACTTCGCGCTCATTTATTAAATTTTTATTTTTTATATTTTAAACACATTTCAATGTACGATTAAAAAGAAAAATGATATAGGTACACAATACTCTATATAAAGGTGTACATAACACTCACATCAAGTGAGTCTTACCAAAAATTAAAAAACGAAGTGGACTCTACTTAACTTGAGTGTTATGTATACATCTATGTACATTTATTAACATTTTTTATTAAAAATATCAAATAAACATATTCGAAAGTAAATTCGACAAGTAGGCGCAATCTCACACACTCACAATGGTGTGGTCCAATTTCTCATATTTAGAGGTTACTTTCTCTTATCTAAATAAAAGATCAACGTATTGATTTAACCATATAAGACTCAATGCTTGGAATGTGTACCATCCTTTTTTTTTTCCCCTTGAAACAGACTCATGAACCAAAACTAATGAAAAGCCAAAATTACAGCACCAAAAAGTGCATTTTATGCAAGAAAATCAATGAATCCCAACCTCTGTGTGGAAAAATTGATTTGCCACCATAAAATTAGGCTGCAAGTGAATCGATCAGCTCATGAGCCGCTCGAACGAGCTACAGTAATTCAATCGAGCAAACGAGTCGAACCTTGAGCATTATTTCAAAAGTCTCATAAGCTCGACGAGTCGTTCAAATTTTTATTTACATAAATACCTTATATAGTTTAATTATCTACAATAGCTAAAATTGTCTATTTTGTATTTAGCTTAAAAAAAAGTACCCTTATTATTAAATTAACAATAAGTTGTTAATATTTCGAGTCTAACTCGAACTATATTGAGTATCGAGTCGAGTTTGAGCAATATTGTTATTTTTCACGAGTCGAACACCACTTTACATGGCTTATCGAGCTCGAGATTGAATCAAAGCACTGAAGAAAAAAATTCGATATACGCTTAATAAGGTTCATGCTCTATTCGTCTCGTGCCCTTCACTTAACATAACCCTCAAACCCAGACTTTAACCCCACCACCTGCTTTGGCTTTTGTCAGATTGCTTCATTTATGGTGCCATGTGCCTTCATATGTTTTTGTGCAAAGTTATCTGAATTTGGATGAGTTGGAGCTTTTGTCAGAACTTTGGGACTAGCTTTTGAACAAGTTGAGGGTCCTATGTTTTGTGACAATATCATTTAATTTGTTACATAGTTCTAAATTATTAAGATTGAAAAAATTATCAAACATATACTTGGCTTAAATTTGAAAATATATTGGAAATAAGATTTAAAAAGAATTTTCTTATTTGGCAAAGGTCAAAGAAGTTGGAAAAAGTGGGAAATGTTACTTATGAATGTATATGAAATATAAAAACAAATAATCAAACAAAATATTATTTAATAAATGAGCTTAAAATCGAGCTCAAACTCGAGTCTTGACTCGTTTATCACTAATAACGAGCCAGTCTCGAGCTTTAACGAGCAAAACTATAGAAAATTATATAAAAATTATCTTTTCGAGCCTCAACGAGCGGAACCAAACGAAGTTTAAATAAACTCGAACTCGACTCGTTTATCAAACAAGCCGAGCCAAACTCGAGCCTCAACGAGCTGAGTCGAGCCAGACACGTTCAATTTAACAACACTACCTAAGATATATAATAACCAAAGCTACACGTTCAGCTACACTACAGACTGCACAAACAAAACTTAAAGAATCGCTCGACTGGCCGGACAAGAAGCGCCACTGTTTCTCACAGCACACTCGATATTTACACCAACTT